TATACCAAAACGAGGAAGATATCGACGGAGAAAAAGAGGAAAAGAAGATGAAGGCGAAGAAAATGATAACGAATGGAATGAAGGAGAAAAGGAAGAAGAAGAAGATGATGATGATGATGACGATGATGATGATGATGATGATGATGATGATAAGGAAGAGGATGAGAAGGAGGAGGAGGTAGAGGAGAAGAAGCAGAGGAAAAGAAACGGAAAGAGCATGCCTAATCAGACCCGTAATCGTTAGGCCTATGCTTCTTTTGTTCTCACGTTTTATGATGCTTTTTTTGTTAACGGAATAAAACAATTTCAAGATAACACGACGTGAACCATGGTATTACAAAGAATATGTTAGAGAAGAAGTGGGCGAGCATGCGAAACATCTTATGACATGCACATATTTCATCCTCTCTTCCTCGTCCGTTAGATGTCAGCATGTGACGACGTGTTGATACGCAATTACATCCCGGCTGCCTAACAGTATATATATACATATATACATATGCGTATACGTATACTTATACTCACGTACACACATACACACGCACGCGCACACACGCACACACACACGCACACACGCACACACACACGCGCACGCACGCACGCACGCACGCACGCACGCACACACACACACACACACACATATATCTCTTAATCATGCTATATAATATGATTATTTAGATCTCTATATATTTATATTATTTTTATTCATATTTATCATTGACTTTCATGACTTTATTCACAGCTTACGGCTTGTACTAATTATTGAGTATTGTAGTTAAATGTTTGGAGAAACACAGAGTAGTGAATAGATCTCTCTACTATATCGATTTCGTGACTTCTGTGTGTTAGATCATTCCATGTATTGACTCTTCGTCGTGTGGCGAACATGTACAATGTTAACACGCAAATATGAACAAAAAGAGTTTTTTGACATATACATATATAGTTAATGAATTTATTGTTATTCTATACAAATGATTCCATCGGCTTGTTTGAGCAAGCTTCAGATGTGCAAATAAAAACAATTATTTTATACGTTTTAATTCGCTATATAACATAAAAAATGAGGATGACGAAAAATGATAAAAGATACATACATGCAATAATGATATATATATATATAACAGTATATATATACATAATTTCATATAATATCAGTGTGTTGCGATGACTACTGGTCACTAGTAATGTCGAGACGTCTGGTGCTATCCAGTACACGATGAAATAAACATTGATCTATAGCGGATCTATAAGGACAATACGATAGGAACTCTTGTTGTACGCGCAGCGTGGAGCTCAATTAATGCTCAATTAAGCTCACAGAGCTCAATTAAGAATTGATAAAAACTACAACACGTGACAAAGTTGTATAATTAGTTCTCCTGCGCAGTATGTGTTATGCGGACGGAAAGCTGTACCTGAACTATTGTAACATGATCTGTAATCGGCTATAACGCTAATCGACGCATATGACATTCAGCCTGAGTGTATCACTATCTGACATATATATACCATGGTACCTTGTATGTCGAA